CGCTTAGCATGTGAGAGGTACCGAGATCAATGCTCGGCATCTCCAATTCCTTTTTTCGCACTATTCGAAAAGAATCCGGGCCAAATTTTTTACTTTTTCATCGAAATACTCAGCAATTTCAATCTAAACCGACTTTTATTGTTATTCATTTTCAGTTTACCATATATCGAGGCAACAATTCGTGAATCTCTTCGTCATGAAACGCTTGTCCCGTCCGGATTACCACATACAGCGATTGCAGATACCACTTTCATGGGCTACGACATTCCAAAGGTATGAATTTGCACTTGAATTTCGTCAATTTCTGCGTTTTATACGCATAAGTTATTCTGATTTCTAACACTATTAGATTTTCTTCAACAGGGCACCATAGTATTTTCATCGTTGCATGGAGTACACGTGGACGAGGATACCTGGGATGCACCCGAGCAATTTAAACCAGAGCGATTCTTAGATGAATCCGGAATTTTTTCGCCCAAACTCGATAAATCGTTGCCATTCGGTGCAGGGAAACGTGTTTGCGCTGGAGAAACATTTGCCAGAAATTCATTGTTCCTGATTGTATCAGCTCTGGTGCAAAATTTCAACATTGAACTACCGGCCAATGAGAAATTGCCGGATCCACGTGAAACGCTATCTGGTTTTATACGATACCCGCCAGATTTTCGATTGAAATTTTTGACGCGTTAACCAAATCTTTTTTTTGTAATCAACAAACTTTTAGTTATGAATTCATTGATAGAATTATTGTTCTTAAGAACTCTGGTTTATTTTATTACGTACTATATTAATATCAAAGCTGATAAATAATGGTTTTTATTGAATAAAATTATGTTGAAAATTTTTGATAAGGCACTAGTAGTGAGTGCATAAATAGCCCATGTGTTTCCATACACAATTTCGAAAATTTTACGATTATGGTTGTTTTATCTGTTTAAGGCACTATTTCTAAGGCAACTTATTTCAATTTTGATCTTGTAACCATATACGATTCCTTTGGAATCGTCCGCAGATCGTTTCCTTATAAGAGAAATTTCGCCTGCAACTCAAATTACGAGCAGAAATATCGACTGAATGCGTCTTTAGCTGGAAAAACGCCCAGATGTAGACGTTTATTTTTAGCTGTGTAGAAGTATCACTGAATGCATGAACAATATTGAAATAGTTTGGGCTTTGTTTTGAAAACAAAATTCCAAGTTTTAATTTATATGCAAGCAATTAAACATATTGTATATTTGTTGATCATCCATTATCATCAAAATCATCCATTTCGGTAAAGTAGAGATTAGATAAATACAACATTAGAAACATTTGTCTTATAAATCAAATGATGAACGTAACAAAAGAACGAGAAAAAGCGATTGATGAAAGTAAAAAAGCTTCTGGTGAAGTTCATTTTTGTACATTTGAAAAGTTTTCATTAAGATCACTTTAACACAAGACAAATGGATTTCGTAACAATTTAGTTAGAATTAAAGGTTTTAATAATCAAAAGGATATAGTGTAGTTATTTAGGAGTCTCATCGAAAGAATTTAACAACTTACTTCAATCCAGAAAGTCAAGTGTGAATTTCGTCTATATCGAAGAGCAAAAATGTTTATTCAATTCACGGAAAACTTATATGGTTGCTCAAGCGCACGTTCAATTATTTTAACTGTATAATCTCAATATCCGTCAGCGTTTCCAACCATTTTGTTCGTTGTAAGTTACGGTCATCAACTGTGGACACCTCAGAATCGCGTGGCATTTGGCCAAGATATGGTCATTGGAAATGGTAAATGAAACGGACACAATTTTCAAACATTAAAATCTTTGCCGTATTATATGTCATTGGAAAGGCATTGATGCTAAGAAGATGATGAGGCAATCAACTCGACTTGACCAGATATTGCTATACTTTTTGATGTTAACTTGTTTTGTGGTGAAAATAAGAAGAAAAAAAGTTTTTAAAAAGACGTTTTTCTTAAAAAAAAAAAAAAAAACAATCGAAATCATCACTGCGACATGATATTTCGTGCAGTGTGTGTCAATCACATAGGAGATTTGTACAAGAGAGAAAAGAGAAAGAGAAAGAAAAGAAACAAAAAGCCTTTTAAATTTGATTGATAACATCTGAAGAAAAAATCGATGCAGATGAAAAAGAAAATGGAGATTTTCTTCAGCCATTTAAGTGATCTATTCCTTGGCATAGTTGAGGAATAGGCAACGTATAGATTTTTGGAGTATGAACGCATCGTTTTTGGTTATTAATAATTCCCACGCCAGATAGATTGAAGATGTTAAAAAGATTTAGCAATATGCATCATATATGTGTACAACTTCAAATAGAAAAATTACAAATCTGTCTGTATTTATTGGTGAGAAGCTGACTTTACAAAGACATCAACATGAACGGCGTTCGTGGCACGCTTATTTGCTTTGAATTGAAATATTTGGTTTTGATTGATTTTTCCGCGTAAAGTATATTTCGACAATCATTCCAAGAAGTGCAACTCATAAGATTTTTTGTATCGCGTCTAAACAGCACAACAATATTTCATGGAAACGCTTGGACGATAGTTTCAAAAAAAATTTCATTGTGTTATCAATTTGTTAGCAGTTCATTCTCTTATTGCCTAATAAACTACCAAGTCTACTACGAATTGTTTGATAATTTAATAATTGCCTTTTTCTTCGGAAATTCTTCCACACTTGATGTATATGTGACTCAATTTAAGAGCCGTCAGAATTTTTTTAGGAATAATCTCACACTTTCTTCTTTATTACTTAAATTGGAATCTTGTTTGTCGTTTTGAATTGAATAATTTGGTTTTGATAAACGAAAAGTATATTTTGACAATGATTCCATGATACACTTTGAACTTGTTTACTCTTAATAATATGTTATGTAGCACGTCATATCAACACAACAACATTCCGTAAAACGCTCGGGCATGGTTATGACCTTTGAATTGAAATATTTGGTTGTGATTAGTTTTTCTGCGTATTTCGACAATTATTGTTTCAAATCGATTTTCATCGATTTACAAAAATTGTTGAAAGCCATTCTCAATACTGTTTCATTGGAGTATTGAAATAATATGATTTTCTTCATATTGTTGAAGATTTATTTTGATTCTTTTTTTATTTGTCTTGATGAAAATGATAACTTTTGGCAAAATAGTCGTTCCGAAATGGTTTATAGTTAATATTATTTCTTTCAGAACATTTCATACGCAATATGGCAAAGTTTAGAATTGTTTGAATTCTAAAGTTATTTTTGTTGCAGTAATCAAATTGCTATATCCATTGCTAGTTGCATGAATGTACTTCTTTCCAAATAAGTGTCTGGATCATCATTATTTTTACAAATTCATTTCGTTTACAATACGTTGAATGAAATACATTTTCTTACTGTCTCTTATTTACATCTCGTAACACTTGATCGATGCGATCGATAATGCTAAATACAAACTTAAAGATATCTAAGTTTTGTTTGGTCACAATCAATGAAGCAAGTGGTCGTAGCCTTTTGATTTATTTTGAGTATGTTATCTACTAAAACGCTCTGATCAAATTCGAAACAAGAATTTATTATTTGCTTCGCAATACCGTTTTGATTATTATCTATCGCTAATTTTCGGCGATTCGTAAATTTTAAAGGAGGTTTTGTATTTAATCTTATGTGTTTTTGTTGTTGTCGCTTCATCCCTACGTTATAGCGATACACATACACAGTCATGCATGACTGCTTTAACGTCCATGGATGCTTTTTTAACGTTGTTTCATGCTGATTCCATGCTGTATGGTGTGTATGTATTTAGCTCATAATGCACAACGTCGGCTAACACACTGTACGTCGAATCAGTATATTCACAGCGCCGCAATACATTGTGTGTTATATATATACACACCCTATACATATTAACGTGAATTTGGCGTAGAATGGTGTCGGCTATATTTTCAATTGGTATAAATATGAGCGATTTTCCAGCTGAAGCATCATTCGGTATTTTACACTCGTACGCTATTTTCGGAATTAAAGTGAAAAAATAGAATTTACAATGGTGTCAAAAGTTCTTTATATTTTTGGTGATAACGTTTACTGCAATAGAGAGGCAGGTAAACGCAGAGAATCAACAAGATTGTTTGAATTTGACTGCTGGTCCACCGTGTCCACACCCTCGATATGCCACAAGGCACATTTGTGAAGGAACCATCCAAAATCGTCGACAGAATCTAAGTGATTGTTGTGATCGATCTATTCGATCCTACAATTCTGGACGAGGTAGTCCTGCAGTTACGATGTTTTTTACCACTCAGAAACCAAATTTTGGAGTTGAATGGGCTCCTTTGAACAAGTTTGGTAAATGCCAATGATGATTTGTTTCATTATTTGGTCCAAAAATTTCTTTTAAAAATTTTGTGAATTTGATTAATACAGTTCTGAATCGTAGCTTTTATTCCAAAAATTGTACACTTTACCCGATAGATTTTATTGAAAGAAATAAATGTAGCTGAGTTCATTATTTTTCTGCAGAATTGTTTCATCTTGATTCTATCAAAATAATATTCTGTATTCAACAGTCTCAAAAAGTGGTTTTCTACGCGTTTCATGAGTTTTTATGATGATCTATGCTAATTTTGCGAAAAAAGTTTTCGGGACCAATTCCTATACTTTCCCTTGACACGTTGTGTACGGAAAAGTAATAACAAAACAAGGTGGTGACCGGTCATATTTTCCCCGGTCATAACTTCCCTCATACAAAATGAATGGAGAATTTATGGCCGAAATGACGGAGAAAATAATTCCATTTCAGATTTGGACATAAATTCCCCATCTAAAAAATTTTGATTAGAGAAAATATGTCCAAAAATCAGAAGAAATTATATCCAAATGCATATGGACATAATTCCCCGGGGAAATTATGACCAAAAATTCAGTGGAATTATATCCAATTGAAAATGGACATAATTTCCCCACGTATTTTTCATCAAATAATTGTACATAAATAAAGAAATTAGCGTCACTTGAAGCGTTATTATTGAATGTAAAAAAATTTGGCCCAAAATGTTTGTTTGTTTTTGTTTTATTTGTTCACCGCTTTTTTGTTTACAACTTATTTTTATTTATTCACCGCCAAGCAAAAAATAGAGTTTTTTGGATTTTGGGGAAATTTTGTCCGAAATTCGGTGGAATTATGACCGGGGAAGTTATGCCCTGTAGCCAACAAGGTCACAAAATTTGAACTTTTTATGAAATACCAGAATGTAATCTGTATATTTTAAAGAGAGTTTTTGCGAATCATACCCGGATGTTATTCATTTTCTTGAATTGTAATGGGCTAAAGAGAAAGATCGAAATGGACTTCTTAATCTCATTATCTATTTCGAGCCGAAAAATCAAAACTCGTTAAATGCTTTAATTTCGATTGTCGAAATGCGGTAAAAAAGGTATTGGAGATGCCGAGCATTGATCTCGGTACCTCTCACATGCTAAGCG